CTTCTGGAGACAAAGGTGGAATGGCTCTACTATATTCTTCAGGCATTCAATTCTGGTGATTTAGTTCGCTATCAAGAATTATGCCAGGTGCATAATGCTGCTTTGAGGGCTCAACCAGCGCTAGTTCAGAATGAGCAAAGGTTGTTGGAAAAAATCAACATTCTCTGCTTGATGGAGATTATATTCAGGTATAGATACACCAATTTGATTGCTACGTATGAAAATGAGGATAATTTAGTACATGTTACTTGGGCTAATTATGAATCCTTGCAGTCGACCTTCTGAAGCCCGAACTATACCCTTGGGAGTTATTGCTGATCGCACAAAACTTTCTGTAGAGGATGTGGAGCATCTCCTCATGAAGAGCCTTTCTGTATGTCCTACTCAGAACTCTAGAGGGAAAGGAAAAAAAAAAAAAGACAAGGCATTTAGAAACTCATATAGTAACTAATTAATAACAACCATCTATATATGTTTATGCAAAGTAATTACATCTGAATTTGAATAGGAGCTTGTCTGTTCAATCCTTTGTGATAATAATGCTAGAATTTCATTGCAGGTTCATCTGATAGAGGGTATAATTGATCAAGTAGAAGGCACCGTTCATATTACTTGGGTGCAGCCGAGAGTTCTTGGAATTCCACAGATCAAATCCTTACGGGATCGGCTGGACAGTTGGATGGGTAAAGTGCACACCGCGTTGTTATCCATTGAGGCAGAAACACCCGATCTAATTGGGTCATGATTATCTGGATTTGCTTTCTTCCCATTGTAACAATTTAAGTAGAACGGAACACATCCTAGGGCGGCAAAAAAAAAAAAAAAAATTGAAGAGACTTCAGGTCAAATGGACAATAGAGCCGACTTTATATGTTTTGTTTGGTGCTTCCTGCTGCTCTTGGAACACACTTCCCGGAAAGGGCAGCCTTTTGTACTTGGCTTAGGAAGTGTTGGTTTTTTGGTTGCTCTCGCCTAGTGGGACAGTGAAATCAATTCGAAACAGGCTGTTTTCACGCTTTAGAGTGATTATTTATAGACTATGTATCCGGAATTTGCCTTGGATACAGACTTGTCCACTTTTTGTAGTGCATTTTGCTTGTGCCAAGCAATCATTATTGTCGTCTTTACATGTGTTTATATAACCCTCAACTCAGTCAGGAAGCTCGGTGGAAAGCTTGTCAAGGGTTAAATTTCATCATTTGTTGACGCCTAAATCATGCGTAATACAGAGCGCATGGCAAAACAAATCCAACTCGATTCGTGTCATGATTTATGAATTTGGGCGTGGGATGTGGTGTTTTTAAGATCTACATTGACTTAGGGCCGCTTGGATATAACAGTAGTTTGTATTGACTTCTTGACTCGTTTTAGGGATTATTCTTTTTGTCTCTGTATATAAGATGTTTTTAATTGAATTTTACACATCAATAAATGTTTATTATTTAGTTGAATTTATATAAAAATATAATGTTTTTTTAGTTTTACTCTAAATAATATCATAATATCATCATGATAATGGAAAAAATATATAATTAATGATCTATTTTATTTTTTAAGACATGGATAAAATTGTTTAATTATTCAAAAATATCATCATCACTTTTTATATTTATAAATAAAATAAATTTTTAAAAAACACTTTATATATAAGGACGAAGGGGTATATTTTTTTGAATTGGATGAGTTTAACACACCCGAATAAACTAAAAAGTCAAAGCAGTTGGATCTTTTTTTATAGTTTTTTTTAATCTTTTACTCTTATTTTAGTAATATGAATTTTTATTCAAATTAAAAAGATTAATGTCAAGTTCTTTGTGGGTGATTGTAAAATTTTGAGTACATGATTAGCTACTCTACATTATATTATTTAAACCGTAGAAAAAGTTGAAAATTCATTTGTTTTAAAAGGGAAAAAAAAAGTAAACAATATATGTGTGTGTGAGAAAAAAAATTGAGGAAATGAAAATTTAATATGTTATGGTTGAAAAACTTTCAACTGTGAATAACATAACGTATACTTAATATTTTATTTTTAATAAAGTTAATGTTAAATTTTATTTTCTATATTTATTTTCAAGAAGTGTTAATTACTCTAAATTGTTAAGTAGGACAATATTCCCGTGAACTATCTTTCAAAAGAGTAAAATTATCTTTTTATTGATGTACTGTTTGTTCTCTCTCTCTCTCTCTCTCTCTCTCTGCTTATCTATCATGGCTTGAGATTCCTTATCTTTTGATTTTGCATCCACTCTATAATCTAAGCCCTCTTCAACACTCTGATGTGGCACTTATCATACTACTTTTCACTTATTGCCTTTCTCTCGTGGTTATACTGAAGGATTCTGAGCGATGGTGGCTGATGGTGAAGATGACATGGATGGGTTGTCTTCTCAACTAAAATCATAAATGGGTTGTCTCCTCTCTTATGATCTTTTCTATTACGTAGAATAACTGTGAATGATCTAACCTTTGACCTTTATTTCTTCTCCATGCACACCTCGTCCCATAATTCTAAATAGGATAAAGGTGTATTTTTGCACCTCATATTTTCTTTCAAGAGCACTCAATATTTTAAAGTATTTTGTGCAGCATTTTCGCCCCTCAAATAATTAATTCAGAGCACATGTAAATATCTAGGAGAAAAATTTAGAAAATCAATGATAGCCGTAAGATCGATTTAATTTCCATCATCTATTAAAGAGATAGGAATTTTCTAAAATCAAGGGGAGGTCAATAAATACCTTACCCTTCTTCATTTGTAATCAATTTTTGAATTTTAAAACAATACAACTCTCACATTCTTTATACATCTTTTAATGAAGAGTGTCGTAAGTACTATGCGGGTCAAAAGATTAGCCACATGGCAGTTGGTTTGTCTTACTCTCTCCCCAAAAGGTTGACCCTATTAAGATGTGCAACGCATTCGCTTATATAATTAGAACCCATCTTAATTCCCTTCGATATGGGACCTAATAGCTTCTCCGACCAATCTGTGACACCCTTGTTACAGGTGACCTGCCAGAGGAGCTCACTGGCTGGGCAAACTTAGGTCTTGCTTTAATATCACTTTATCATAGGGCCATTACTCTCTTTTCAAAATGTTAACCAATTATGACATGTAGTGCACTCGCTTGTATAGCTAGAACCCTTCCTGAGTCCCTCAAATGTTAGATCTAATAGGTTACTCTAATGTTATGGTTAAAGCAAGTCTTGTGGGCCCGATTTTCACATCTTCTAATTTATTTGCTCATATTTTCAAAGCACAAAGAAAATATCAACCACCATTGATGTCCTGGACTAGAGCGAATTTGAGAAAGGAAAAGCAGTTGCAGCTGATAGCCATGAGACCAGGAGGAAGTAAGAAAGCCATGGCCATAATAGACTACATTATCAATTTAGGTGCCCATAACTGCTGCTCTCGACGCTGCAACAACCATGGGAACCACCGATCAAACTCTCCCTTTCTTCATACTATTCTTCTAGTATGGAGCCGACTATGGTAGTTTTTGAACTTTTGAGTATGTCATCAATCACTTTCTTTCTCAATTTTCCTTTGACAAGAATTAATTTCAGGGAATGATATGTGAATCCTATCGTTTAGTCTGATACAGTTGGGTGGATACCTGGTCTCTGCCTTTCTCTATTTTATGTCTCAAAAATAGAGTTGAACAGAGAGATATTCCCTTGCATAAGTAACGACTTTTGACGGTAGATCTATGCGGCAAAGAAAATGGATAATGAATGCCTAATTCGGTTTATGGGGACAAAAATAATGTCTCCTGTGTCTGTTCTTTTCTCAACGATAATAATGCTACTGTTTGCCATGTCACTAACATGTAGTACACATGCACATAGCCATCTTCTCATTTCCAATTCTATTGTGATTACATCATCTCCGGCATAATCGATGCCATGGTTTTCTAGAGTTGCTGCTTCACCACCGACACGCTTATATTTTAAATCAAGCTTTATATTAATATATATGATAAGTCATCCTGCACCAAAATAGGTGCGTGCTCTTGTCGACCGTATCTAAAAACAATTTCATAAATCCCTTGAAGCTTTTCATTATGATGTAGTGACAATGTTTTGAATAGAAGTCTTTTTCATTGGTTATTCTGTACTAATCCTATTATAGCTCTTTGTTCCTTAAAATTCATCAAACGATAATTATCATTGCTATGATTGACCGTAACGTGTTAAGTCTTACAGCCGTGTAATTGAGATTGGCTGATATAAATCAAATCTCGATGGGGTA